CAAATTAAGAGATGAATTCTATGGCTTCAAATAATTTCGTAGAGCATTATTTAATATTTTCTCAAAAGTCACAAAAAAAAACAAGATACAAACAACCAAATGAGATTATACCCTCTTCATGAAACAATCCACTAATAGTAAAATCTCAATTCTCATTTAGATATGTTGACATAATTATCACGGGTGATGATAAAAGAGTAAAATTTTAAAAATATATCATGAATCTACGAAAAAAAAAAAGAAAAATAGAAAATTAAAAACCTTGTGAAACCCCAAATAAATCAGATTAAAAATATGACACAAATGAACAATGAAAAGCAAACATGGGACAATATCAAAGATTAGTTGAAAAATTGATCTATCTCACATATGTCCAAACAACACATTTGCACTGAGTCTCACCAACTGAACAAAGAACTCTGAAACCCCGCATTCAAAAATTTGTATAGATAAATTTGAAATGATAGATTTATACTATTGAGTTTGAGAAGTATTAAAAAATTGTGAGACCCATAAATCAACAAATCATAATAAGGATCCTTCAGTACAAAGATTAAGGATTCTGGCCTTTGGATAAAGACTCTTATGGCCCTTGGATTACACTCCACATGCTTCCTCTTCCTATTATCATCGCCGGCTCCACTTGCGCACCCATTTTTTCTTTTTTTTTAAATTACTTTGATTTATGTCTATTGTCTATATACTAACACACTTTGTATAGAGTTATAAACAATAGAAGCCAAATATTTTTTCTACTTTCTACAACAATTATGATGGTGTATACAGGAGATATGAGATATATAAGGAATGAAGTAATGCCTTTATTCAATAAACGTAGTAAAGCTAAACAATATTCTGGACAAGAATCCTAGACATAATACCCGAATAGAAAAGAATATGTACAATAACTACAAAAGTCTGCAATTAACAGCTCAAACAACCTTAGTTCATAATGGATATGGATATAATTAAATATTAAAAGATATTAATATAATAGTAAAATATTTTGATTTAAAACAGGAATTCTTCAGCAAAAAGAATCTGACTATAATGAAAGGGATTATTTAAAGTTCAATTTTGGTATAGCAAAACCAGCAAATAAACCAAAAAAGTCAATAACTTGCAAAGACAATTATAGGAATCGTAAATATTTACTGTTTGCAATCAAAACAAATGAAATGCAATAAAAATTTAAAAGACATATCTGAGGACCATCGATCATTGCAAATCAGAATTTAATGATTACATGAGATATAGAGAAAACCTCGGAAATTTGTATGCCCGCAATGGAACTAGGATGGCACGGTTATGAAAGCCAGTCGAGTCTCTCGAAGGCAAGACAGTTTTTTTCACAGCAAATACTATGTATTTGGAACTTTAATTGAAGAAAATAATATTAAAATTTTCCATGCAAATTGTTTTTAAGCCTCATTTGATTGCTTCAAGTCTAAAGCATGTTTCCAAAATAATAAATAGAGAAATAGCTCAAAATAGTCCCCCCCCCCACAAACTATTCATATGTGGCCAATTTAATCCCAAAGCATTACATTTCTTCACTTTAACACCTCGAATATACAAAATCAACCCCAAATGATCCCTCTAATAGAAATTGATGAAAATGGGATATAAAATTGATGCCGATTTAGACGCTTGACTATTGAATATTGATCCCAATTTAGGTTCTAAGGGAAGTTTTGTGATCAAATTCTACGACCGATGAACTAAAATTTGATAAATGTAACACTTTAGGAGCAAATTGACCACATGGATAGTCCGGGATAATTTTGAACTTCTTCCCATAATAAATATTGCCATATTAATAATTGGGTTGGAAACAATTTGCTACTATTGATGATTTCAAACTTCACAATCCTATCAAAAATGAATTCCAATTTCATGTTCAAAATAAATGAAAAAAATTCATTATTTTCTAAAACATATTTTAATCTATAAGCTACTAAAGGAACCCTTGCTCAATAGAGGGCTGATATTTATCCCAATATTAAATTACTTAGTCATAAGATGAGAAATGCTCTTATAGCTTACGCCAAAACTAGGTATAACTCACTCTTACGTAATAAAAAACAAAAAAAAGGAATTATTAACTTTTAAGTATAATAAACATTGTTATTACACATGATATCGTATATAGCTTAATCAATATAATAAAAAGTACTGTAAATCATCTAAACTAAAAATTTCAGCGTTATAAGATAAAGGACATGATCTGCAATAAAACTAGATTTACGAAAATGTCTAATCACCTCTATTTTATGCATATGGATTAGAATCAGATGACATGTTTCTGACAAAAAGTCCAGAACACAAACAAAAGAAACAAGGAAAGAAAAAGTTATGAGATTTCAATATTATTATTCAGCAAAAAGGTTCAGCTTAAAGTGCAAACAAAGGTTTAGTTAAAATTGGCTAAACTAAATCTGGCAAAACTGCAAATAAACTAAATAACTGACCAGAAAATATAAACATATAGATCATGTATACCTAAAAGATGTAGAAAATTGATGGGGGATAAAAAGAGATCGCTGAGTTCAAGGGAAACTCTAGCAATGACGGTATAAGTGGGAAGTTGAAAAGAATTGGTTGAAGAAAATAATAGTGAAACGGGAAATTCAGAGGTAGAAGATAGCTACTGCTTTGTTATTAACCTCTCTGTGCTTCCTTAAATCCAATGTATTACGACTAATCATTGCTATCACTATTTGATGCAAATGTTTTTAGCACCAACATAACCTTAACCAATTCAACAAATAAAGACAGAGAGTATAACTAAGCAATATATTAAAGGAGCTTATAATTTATTAAACCAATGTTCTCCCACTTCAAGGCTTCATCAGGGTGAAAGTCCTTTCTATGCTTCCTTACATCCAATATATAACCCTTAACGAATAATCATTGCTATCACTATGTGATGACAAATGTTTTTAGTACCAACACAACCTCAACCAATTCAACAGATAAAAACATAGAGTATAACTAGGAAAAAATACTAAAGGAGCATACAATTTAATAACCCAATGTTCACCGACTTCTAGCATTCATCAGGGAGGTAGTCCTTTAACCATGTTGGAGCTTGACGATCCCAACGTGGTCTAGGCAGCGCAATAACCTGGAGAATCTATGCCATTGAGATTGACATCAATTCCCGGACCACTTGGGAGAGCGACCATGTCCTCAAAGGTCGAGTTTGGGGTAGGCTTGTCACAGCTTGTTTTCATAAACCCACATGGATTCCCTAAATGGAAGGCCCTACCTCTTAATGAGGTATTGCTATGTTATGTTTTCATTGCAGGAGATCAATCTGAAATTCAGTATGTGCTCTAGCTTTAGAATCATGTGTCATCCGCATTTTTTGTGGCAACCAAATTGGATGCAAGTTCTGATAAAGTTTGTATGATTTTTATGGATATAAGTGAAATGTCAAGTGTATGCATGAGTGAGGTGGTAAGTTTAATTTGTATGCTACTTGCCCAATTCGCTCCAAGATTTTAAATAGCTCAATGTATCATTAGTTGAGTTTAGATAAGTTCTCTAAGTGAAGTGATCGCTAGTAATATAGCTATAGTTTGACAAGGCCGAGGTCATTGACTACAAAATCAAGGTCCCATGGATGTTTACCAACTTGATGTTTCATCCTTTGTTGGGCGCAAATGTTGGAGATTGTGCAGCATCACTATCAAGCTATTAGAGCTAATGAAGAAGAACTTCTTCAATGGTGGATGTCTAACACATACATGAAAATAGTCAAAAATAGCGCACACTATGGCGCACGGCACAGCACACATACTGCTCTATTAGCTTGGTGCGGCATGTGTTCAAAATAACACACGCTATTTGTGCCATATATGAGCAATAGCACATAGCGCAATGTGCAAATAGGGCGCATAATTTTCTACATAGTGCATAATTACAAATTATAATTAAATATATCGACATTTATATATTAATATCATAATTAATTATTAATTAATTAATATCAAACTAATGAAGTATTAAAATTATTATTTAATCTCTAATCTTTAAATAAATGCCTAAGCTAATATAATAAATTGAATTACTTCTTATCCAATCGGTTGGTTCTCCATTAAAAAAAAAACTAATATGAGCAACGATGGAGTTCAAAAAGAAGTGAAAATGGTGTTCGGCTAGTTCTTCTCTGCAATTGCCTATATATTTCTACAATTTTTCTTCTCTTTGGCCTTTCCCTATGCTCTTCTTAGAGCCATCGAACCTTCTAGGGTTTGCTTCATTGCTAATTCCGCTTCACGTGAAGCCAAATTTTGAAAGAGCTGTTCAAGGAAGCTATTTCGCTTTATTTGAAGATGACGTTCCATTTCGATTGAAAGTCATGACAAGAGCTCGCTGCAAAGGTAACAATTTTCTTCTCTTTTGTGCACTTCAACTAAATCTCATAAAACCACTTAATTACAAGATTTATTAAATTTTGGATTTAAAGCAAATTAGAGAAGGAACAAGAGTTAATTTCCTATAGGATTAAAGTTGTCATTTTTTGCTTGTCAAAATTTAGGCTAAATCTAGCTTAAATATACATTCAAACAGCCATTTAACCTAAACAAAATACACAAACAACCTCTCCCATAATCTACCCAAAGAAACCATTCAAATAATCTAAATTTGATAGCATAAACATATATATTTATATATATAACATAATTTTTATAAACATATATATTGTATGCCATGTTTAATATAATTATTTTATATTGTATGCCATGTTCAAGAGTTAATTACTTTATATATATAACATAATTTTTATAATTATTTTATAATTATTTTATATTGTATTACCAACAATGCCTTGAAAGGGGTTTGACCATCATTCTTAGGATGATACTGTTTACAATAGATTGTTATTGTTATGGCCTCGTACTTTATATATTGTCGAGATGATATGTTCTCAACTCTAACAGAGTGAGGTAGAGACGCACCTCACAATTGAGTTCCACAAAATTAGCAAGCTATTCTTCAACAATGGAGGTATTTTCATTCATTTTGATGGCAACGAACCTTCAACCATACACATAGGCAATCAACAACACCAAATGATAGGGGATAAGCAGCAATTGATGAGTTCTACGGCAAGTCCAACATCATCAGGATAAGAGGGTAAGGTACATGTATAAAGCATTATTAACTTAGCAAAATATAAAGGACCCTTATAATCTGTTAACCCATTTTTTACTCACTTCAAGCCTTCCTCAAGGTGATAGCCTTTAGCTAGGTTTGAGCTCGACGAACCCCGTGTGGTCTTGGCAGTACGATGTGATATGGAGAGCCGGTCATTGAGGCTCGTATCAAATATTCTAATAAGATAAGCTTATCATGATGTTGATGTTCATTCTAATGAAAACGAAATAAGTGTTCCAAATATTCAAGCTTCGATATTCTTTTTCTTCATCTTGGAGCACTGGATTTAGTGTAAAATTTGAATGTTGAAGAGAATCTCCGGCAGACTGGGCACGGCCTGTTCAAAGTAATCAACATCGTGTAACCCTCCTATACCTCTAAAACATTGGCCAAAGTTTGAAATAGCAGTCTGATCTAAGCCATCCTAAGTAGTAGCTCATACAATATCGGTCCAACCCTAAAAAAAGGAAATAAAATTTACTCAAATAGTATCATTCCAGATCACCTTCAAAGCATAATTTGCTCGAATATCAATCGCGATAAACAATCTGCATTAGCTTAGTTCTTGCAAAGCTGCAGAGAGAAGAGGGAGCATTAGATAGAAGACGAAAAACCTGAGTAGGGTAGCGTAGTGACTTGCTCGAAGCGAACAAATGAAAAAAAATAAAGACAGCGGCGGAGACCAGGGAGAAGAAGCAGCGGCGGGGGTACCGACGGAGGAAAAATCCCTAAATGGCTACGTTGACGAAGAAGACGACAGCATGTTCAAGCCGACTAGCTGTAAGAGAAAGGTGCAGCTTGGCTGCTTGAGAAGTGAAAGCGAGAGACTGCGCGAGGAAGACATAGGGTAAGGTTATTTTATAGGACCGCACGTGTAATATAGACCATTCGATAAAGATCTAACGGTGCAGGAAATAAGATAAAAACCCGGTATGTTTTTTTTCCCGGAAAAAATAGGGGCATGCCCAATTCATTCCAAAAAAAATGAAAGTTAACAAAAAATTACAATTTTGTAAAAAAATAAAGAAAAACTTACAAATTAAAAACCTCCTTCAAAAAGGAGACGAAAAAACAACAAAGACTTTAAACCTAGCCAAAAGAAATATAGACAACCAAACAACAAGAACTAAACCTCAAACATACCGGCCCAAAATAAGAATTTATACTAAACAGCAATTAGATCACAAACCATCCTTCAAAATCTGCATCTAAATAGCATAACCAGCTCCAAATCATAATAATAGCCAACAAACTTCTGAAATGGCCTCCAAAAAAGCCAACAACAGCACTCCGACCAACAAAAACCATTTTTAAATCTGGAACAAGCCAAAAACAACCACTAAACTCCTGAGAAAAAATACCATGACACCACCAAACAGCAACCAAAATAAACTACCAAACTCCAGAAACAACCTGCCACCAACAGTACTAGGAAAAAAGGGACTTAACAGAACCCAACAGGACATAAGAAAACTCATAAAATAGTCCCAACCTCCAGAACTCAGCATAAAGGGAAAATCTTCAAAACCAACCCCCAATAGATCACTCCTTTGGTTGTTGAATCAACCCTATCAGATATTCTAATTGCCAAATCAACCATCCAAAAATAGAACTAGAAGGCGTCCAAACATCAAAGTCCAACCAAAAAACAAATCCAACAAGAAGAAAAAAACCCATTAATCAACAAGATGTTGAATATGAGGAAAAGCTGTCCAATTAAAGACTTTAGTACGAACAATAAACTTAATATTCTTACAAGTATAGTCCAGGCTTTCAAATTTATTCTCCATCTTTCTGCAGTTTCTCTCTTTCCAAATATAATAAATGGAGCAGCAAGTATAAACCTGAAAAAAATATTTAACATCTTTTGGACCAATCTAAATTCCAAATATGCTCCAAAAATTACTTAATATTCGGCCTGAGCGAAAATAAATTTAAACTAGGAACAAATTTTGAAATGATATAGAAAGAAAAATCACATTCAAAAAATAAATATCTATGATAATCATCCCCAATATTATAAAGAATACAATTTAAAGGCATAATAATATTCCTTTTGACTAACAAACCAGCCATTTTCAACCCATCAATCATAGCCATCTAAGCAAAACAAGATTATCTTAAAGCATGTCTCTTATGCCGAATATAAGAATATCAATCCACCCTAGAAAAATCCTTATAATAAGCATTATAAAAAATCTTGAAATTAGAAAACTTTACCTTATTCAAAGAGTTAACAAAAGAAACCTGATTCTGAATAGAGATACATGAAATGGCCATCGCAATGTCTTTAAGCAAATGCACTAGTAGAACCCTGTAACCATTATTAATCCAATCCCCAACACAATTATTATTATACAAAGAATCATCGTAATTAACAAGAATATCATGAAGAGCTTTCCCTTTAAATCAAGGATCCCAAAACAAAGATAAAAAAGAATTTTCTATAATATTAAAAGAAATATTACTCTGAATTTCCTTTGGCAATCCCACACAGCTCTTTCCAAAATTTCAAGTCCTTCTAAGAGTAAGGTTGCCAACAAGAAATATATTTGAATTTAACCCAAGTAGCTAAAAGACCCAAATTATTCACTATACGCCAAATAATAGAACAACGAAAAGCAAATCTTAAGGCATTAAGATCAAGAATCCCTAGCCCACCAACATTTTTTTGTTAGCAAACCTCCTTCCATGCTATCATATGAATCCACCTAACATCCACTTCACTAAAAAATAAGAAATTGGAACATATTTTCTTGATATATTTAAATCAAGTTTTAGGTAAAGAAAACCCCCTAATCTAGTAAGAGACAACATTTGAAATAGTGAAATTAATAAATTGAATTCGCCCTGCAAAAGATAAAAGCCTCACTTTCCAACTAGCTAGAAGATCAGAGATCTTATTAATTAATTGTTGGAAATAAGAAATTAAAAGCTTTTTACAAGAGATAGGCAAACCAAGATAATAGAAATTATTATGAGTAATAGGAACGCCTAATACATGACTAATACCATTATCCAACAAACAAACTTTAGAAAACATGATAGCGCTCTTATCATGATTAATTCTTAAACATACACTTTATAAAAATAATATAATATATTCTTTAACTTTTCTTCATTCAAGATAGAAGCTTTTTGAAATAGAAGAACATCATCTGCATATAATAAATGAGAAATAGAAAGCTCACCAACTTGAATACCAACAAAATTATCCCCTTGTTCCTTATCATCAATCAAATTAGAAAAAAAAAAAACATTCATAATAATACAGAAAAGATAAGGTGAAAGAGGACAACTTTGATGAAGCCTGGCTAAAGAATTAAAGAAACTATGAAGAGAACCATTAAGCATAATAGAGAAGAAAGTATCATTAATGCAACATTTAATCCAGGAAATAAAAAACTTGAGAAAAACCTTTCTGAGCCAGCCTATTATAAAGAAAATCTCTTGAAACAATGTCAAAAGTTTTATGAATATCCAATTTGGAGCAGAAAAAATGATCTTTGCTTTTACAATTAAAACCCCTTAGTAACTCGGCTGGCAGAATAATATTATCAGTAGATATCCTCTTTTTAATAAACCCAAATTAACTATTATGAATAATAAAAGGCATAACATCCCTTAATCTGGAAGCCAAAATCTTAGCAATAATTCTATCAAAAACATTACAGAGAGATATAGGCTGAAAATCAGAAATATGAGAAGCTTTAGCTTTCTTAGGTATAAGAGTAATAGTTGTTGCTTTTGCTACCCAAGAAAGATAACCTTTTTTAAAGAGATATAAAACAACTTCGCAAAAACTAGGGCCAATGATATCCCAACTTTTCTTAAAAAAACTCAAAACTGAAACCATCTGGACCATGTGTAAAGGAAGAAGATCCAAAAAAAACCACTTTTTTATCTCCTCAAAAGAAACCGTAGCTACTAAAGAAGCCAAGTAAGTCTCAGGAATAGTCTTCCCCACCTAAATATAAAAGGCAGAAGAAAAAATAGGCATAGGAGCACTTAATAAATTCTTAAAGTGATTAACAAAAGCACTAGCAATTTCTTTGGGATCAGAAAAAATACCCTCAGGAGTAAGAATAAGCTTGATATTATTTTTATTTTTCCTTAACTGAATTTTAGAATATAAAAAACCCAAGTCATCTTCTCCAGCAGAAAGCCATTTCGCTTTAGCTCTTTGAATAATTCAAGAAGACAAAAGAGACATATTAGAATTAAGCAGATTATTCACATTCTTAAGAGCCATATTAAGATCCTCATCTAACGGGTTAGCTTGAATTCTATTTAATAAATTAGCCTAATGCTTTTTTAGCAAAGCAATATTGTTAGAAACATCACTAGAAGAAGCCCAAATTTTCAATTTTATCTGATTTTTAAGGGACCGCAATTTGCAATAAAAATTATTAATAAGATTACCAAAATTAAATTTAGCAAATGAATCAATAAGTAAATCCTAGTACTCTGATCAATCATGCCAATAGTTCTTTGAATATCGTAATTTAATTAAGCCAGAATGTTAGCGTATAGCCCCATGTTTAAAATGCGAGACTTCTTTGTAATTTTACATGCGGATTCATATTCACACAAAAATTGTTTAAATAAATTATTTAAGTAGATAATCATATATTAAATTTAATTGATACAATTAAAAAATGTCATTATCTTTTAGTGTAGAATTTGGTAGAGAGTAAACATTACGTAATAATAATAAATAGCAAGCTATCTTCACATATTAGTTAGCTTTCATTATTGTTGCAGTCTAAAGAATTTTCAAAAAAGAGTAAAAGTGTTTTGAGTTTTAGTTTTGTATGAAAATTTAGCATATTGATAGATAAATGAAAGGTGCACAAGTTACACGAGTTTTTATATGAAAATTTGAAAAAGAAAAAAAAACTATAAAGTTTAGCTAAAAGAATTTTACTATGCAGCCATTAATTAAAAATGTTTTGATCGTCCCTTAACTAGGAGGCAGCATAACTACAAGAGTGTGAAGAGTTGGTAGAAAATATTACAAATTCAATTTAAGGTGAAAAGCATTTGGATAGTTGTAGCTAAGAAGGTCCAATGTCAGTGGTCAAGAGTGATTCAATGAAGGTTGTCGGATGATGATGGCATTCCGATGGAGATGGTTTGACAACAGTGGTCCAATAATGGCGATCAAGAAACAAAAGTTTGATGGCAATGGTTGAACTGAGAAGGTCCAACATTGGCAATATGGTAATGGTCCAATGAGGGCAGTCGGAAGGCAAAGGTTCGATAGTGATAGTCAAGCTGTGAAGGTTCAGTAGTGATCGAGCAATGGTCCAGTGGTAGCAATCGTGTTATGGTCCAATGATGTTAGTCAAGTGGTGGTCTGATGTTAGCGATCAGGCAGTGGTCTTATGACAACGATTGAGTGATGGTTCGATAATGATTGAGTGGTGATCTGATGACGATGATTAGGTGGCGAAGGTCTAACAACAACAATCATGCAGAGAATGTCTAAAGGCGGGTAGTCTAGCAATGAAGGTCTGATGATGGTGATCAAGTGGTAAGGATCTAATGGCAACATTCGGTTGGTAAAGGTCTAATAGTAGTGATCAGGAGATAATTCACCTATGAGCGCTTTTGAATATCTATCTAAAGGTTAGTTTCATGTAGAAAGAAGGGGGTGGGTAGTATTTATAATTTTTTAAGAGTGGAATGCTCCAAGAATATGAAGAAAACATGAAATACTCTATCAGATGACTCATATTCATTATTTTTTATCATTAAGAATTTTTTCATCCTTTAAGTGTTTTAGTATTATTGAAATTAAGTTATATTTTGGAACAATGGATT